CCGTGATCACGGTGCATGTGACATGTTTTGTAACCCTATTATCCACAACATCCTCTCTTATTCCATATTCAGAATAATTAAAATAATTTGATTCAGTGCACAGAAGCGTAACTTAGGTGCAGAGCTGGTGTTGAAAGGCCAAGAACTATTTATATCATTTAGCTTCTAACTCATTGGCTATTTAGCAAGCATGGTGCTTAATCACTAAGTTTTACTTATATTAGAATGTTCGGGAGCCCAGCAAAATATTTTCCATGCAGGGGCAGAAAATCCCAACATTTATTAGCTTAGTAGATTAGTTAGTAAATTACACAAAAGAGGCTGGAATCCAAGTAAATTTATTTTAGCTACTATTTCAGAAGCTATCATACAGAAGAGTTCAGTTCAGGTGCAAAACAATGGCTGCAAAAACCTGATTATTTTTAAAAAAAGTGTGTCAAGTACCCTAGTATTCTACATACTGAGACAGTTTTGACTCTGGGATGACTGCTTAGAGCAGGACAAAACTGCAGGCTGTGGTTCAAGGAAACTAATATCATGACCTATATTTTCAACATTATCAGGCCATTGGCAAAACTGTCCTCATCTAGGGAAAAAAAGGGATAATGAACAAAATTAACTTGAAAAGAGTTGAATATAGGCCAACATGTATGATTTTCCCATGGAATTTTCTAAATAGGGTGATTTTGATGGGGAGGGGGGCTATGGGAGTGAACATCATTGCTTCACCACTGGAGAGTGAGTTCAAGGAGAGGAAACACAAGTGAGGGTTTGGGGGATTTGAGGAAATAGTTGTGTCATTGCAGTGGGACTATCAAATTGCTCCTATCCCCCAACACCCATGCCAAGACTAAACCTGCTCAGAATGATCTACAGCTGTAGTTGCAAAAAAACTTAAAGAAGAGTAAAAATGAGCACTCTTAAAACTTCTTTAAGGGGCTGGGTGATTTTCTGGAAGAGATTCATTAGCATTTAAATAACAAGCTCCACTTATTTAAGCTCCACTTATCAAGTCGATAGTGCCTAGAGGGCATTTAGCCTCCTATCCATGCTAATGTTTTTCTCTCCCTTTAAGGACCACTCTTCTAACATTTCAGTGGAGAAACATGATTATCATTCACACCTTGTTGTGTAGAGAGTTCACACTCCAGCATAACTCATTTACATTCTCATCAGGGCCAGAAAAAAAAATCCTCCACTAAAGTCTTCTGTGGAATTTTGCAAATAAGGGATGAAATGTGTCTTGCGATCAATGCCCCAGAGCATATGCACCAAGACTGAGTACTTTGATGACCCAGGAGATCATAGAACACACCTTTTCGGCTGCAATCTCGGTGCTCCTCCCAGCATCATAGAATGATGGATTAGGTTCAAAGCCCAGTCACTAGAAATTTGCAGAGGAAAATCTCCCATCTGAAAAGAAAGTCATTTCACCACTTTCCATGTCAGCCTCTTATGTCCCAACTTGGAATTATAACAAGCTAGTGTCGTGCACACACCCTACTAGAAAAGTCAGGATGAAGCCAAGCAACTGCCAGTATCTGAACTGAAAAGCAGAGGCTTGGGTTCATTTTTATCACTTAATAGCTGTGTCACTTCTCTCTGAGCTGCCATCGCCTCATCTGTTAGGTGGCCTTAGGCTACAGGAATTCCTTCAGGAAACTGTGCCAGGGATTCTTGTTGGCTCCGTGGATGAGTCCAAAGAGGAGTGTCCTTTCCCCTGCCTTGGAGAAACTCCCAGGCTCATAAGAGCACATAAATGAGTCAGTGCAATAATGTCACAGGTTTGAAACTGCTTCATTAGTGTCGAGCAGTAAATACAGACTGCTGTGTTTAGAAGTTGGCCAGAGCATCCTGAAGTACAACTGCATAAAATTTCTCTTTGAGAAGCAGAGAATTCAAAGGTGGAAATGACCCATCTAGGACCTTAGGTTCCCTTCAGGCTGGAGCACCAGAAAAACCATCCCAGGTAACTGAAACTCTCCCCTTTTTCACAGAATTCCAGAAAAGGCAATGCTATGGCCCACTCCAGTGCTGTTAGAACATCCTTTTTCTTAGCTCACCGAAGAGTTGAGTTAAAAGAACTCGGTTCACCCCATTAACTTGCTGCCTCTGGCTCCAGATTTTAAGAAAATGAAACCCATCTGGTACCAGCCTATGTATATGTAAACCTATATGTTTTTGAAGATCGTAGAGGAGTGAAATCCAAATACCTATTAACCCTTTATTCTCCATATTAAATAATCCAACTCATCTTTGTCAAAGGTCAGACAATTCCATTGACGAGATATGCTATTTTATGCAAAAGGCTAAGAGAGTCGTAGGACAAAAAGTCATGGTTCTTCTGCTCTTGTGTTACCAAATTGGGCTCTTGGGTCCCAAAGTCATAGAAATGAATAACACACCCAGCAGTAAAGCAAGCAGCACTTTATTAAAAGAGGAGATAGACTTATGCATAAGGAAGGTAGCTGGGAAAGCTAGGCCCCCCAAGGAGAGCTATTCAGGGTCCTTTGTAGGGAAAGGGGTTCAGGGGTGCGGGCCAGCATCATCATTCTGCACCTCTGGAGGTGGCCCGTGCTGTTCTTCCTGGTTGCGTCATGGGCGCGTGCTCAGTTAGGGCTTTGGTCCTTGCTCCTGCTCAGTAGGTCCAAGATGGTGGTGGTCTTCGTTATCCTCACCCTAGGAGGGACATTGTAGCAGTCACGTTGAAGCTTTGTGCACACGTGGGAACTCCTAAGGGGGTCTTAAAGTTAATATGTAACTAAATTTTTAGAATTACAGGAAACAAGCCTTGGGAAGGGGTTTTGCAACTAGCTGAATATCTGTCCCCCTCTAATCTCAGTTTATTTTATCAGAGCAGGCCATGGGATAATCATGCCTGGGAGGTCTGATGACTGAGGAGTAGAAAAGTAACAAAGTGTCCTTTATGAGGAAAATGGAGTCAGTTTGGTTCACAGGCCTAGACTTATCCTGTCTCACTAGGAGCTTTAAATTTAGTTAATAAATAAAAGAGTCATAATTGAAGCAATGAGTAAATACAAGACAGCAGTAATACAGACATCTGTGTTATTTTCCTGGGGCTCCTGTAACAAAGTACCACAAATTGGGTAGCTTAAAAGAACAGAAATGTATTGTCTAACGGTTCTGGAGGTCAGAAGTCTCAAATCAAGGTGTCCCCAAGGGGCTGCTCCCTCTGAAACTTGCAGGGGAGAATCCTTGCCTCTTCCTGGCTTCTGAAGTTGTGCCTGTGATCCTGGGCACACCTTGGCCTGCAGCTGCAGCACCTCTGTCTCCGCCTCCCTCTCCACAGTGCTCTCCTCTCCTGTGTCTGTGTCCCCTTCTTACA